AAGTAGCTATTTTTGACCCAAAAGATACTGTAGCTCATGAGATATAAACTAAATTCCCAGCAAAGGTCTCAGAGCAAATCACCTGATTGTCCTTGCCATGAACAAACACTGAAGTGGCATATACTGTTTTTCTGCTTAAGGACCCAGTCCTGCAAAGTACTGAGCATTCAGAACTCCACTGAGGTCAGTAGGATTTGAGGGTTCTGTGCACCTTGGAGAATCAGACCCACTGGGAGCTGAGGATGCTTAGCAGTGCACAAGAGGTGCTCATGCTGTGCAGTATTGGACCCAAAGAGAGACTGTAAATAACAGGACTTAATCCAAAGAGAGAACCAAAATGAATTGCTAACAGATCAGTATGTTAACTATGTAAATAACCGATAACCGCCGTAGTTATTGCTGTCTGTCTAAAGCACACACATTCTTTGTAGTAGTCTCTTATTTTATTTATTATTATCAGATCCTTATTTGGTTTAACGTACTGAGTATTTAGTGTGTATAAATATGATTTTATTATAAAAATTATATATGTGAGTATATATAATTATTAATATTCTTCGTATTACCATAGCACCTACGAGCCCTACTCCTAAGCTGTTCAAGCCTTTGTTGCAATTTTGAGCTAACACACCTGAATGAAATAAACTTCAAAGTTCCATGGCATTGAAGCCGCTTGGCACCTGTGCCTCCTGGACATGTGAGAAGCGCCACCCATATACCCACACACCAGGTTGGCACTGTATGCCATGATGCATCAAACAGCATCCTCGTGTCTGCCTCCTGCAGGGAAAATAAGCAAATTATTTAGTATGGCAACATCGCCCAAATATTAAACCAGGTTAAATGTGGAAAATGGGCAAGGAGCTATGAAAGAAAAACAAGTGTATAAAAAAAGCCTTCCCTCACCCCAAACGACTGCAGTAATTTATCAGTCAAAGTCTGTAAAAATTGACTTCAATGTTTCCTTTGAATCCATCTTTTGAAAACTGCATTTAGTTTACAGGCTTTCATCTTTTGATCAAATGTCATCACCTACTATATAAATAGGGTATTAAATACCAAAAAAAAATCCTACTTTTAAATAACGACCAGGGTCTGTCATGAACTGACAAGAGCTCAGAAATGAAAAGATAACACTGACACTTCATCCTTAATTCATGTTGTGGGGGAAAAGAGGCACATTGAGGCTAATAAAAGATGGAGTGTCAACCTTATCTTTGAATGTCCTGGCTTTTCGTTCCAGCCTTGATATTATTTAAATGTAGGGGTGGTTTGGGTATTTTCTTACTGGTTCATTCACGGTTTAGATAAAAATTTAGAGGAGAGATAATCATGTTTAACTGCTGCAGAGCTGCCTGAACAGCAATGCTGTAATATTAACAGAGTTGACAGCATTTGTTTCTCTATTATTTTAAAAGGTACATAACCCCTAATACATAATTTACAATCATATTTGATGTGAGCTGTAATACACGGAGAGAAGGACCATCTACAAGATGGAAATTACCATGGTTACAGCCCAAATGTTTTTCTTGCTTTTGAGGACAGAAAAAAACATGGGCGAGAACCGTGTATTAACCCTGCTATAGGCTATAAATAGCTCATTACCATGTTTTGCAGGTGGTTGTTTTGCTTTTTCTGCCCTGATAAGTAATAAGAGAGTGTGTTTATAACATAATCATGTTTCAGCCAACTTTGTTGGTTATCTCTGTAGTGTTAACAGAACCACAGAGACAGTTGTACTTTATACACATTTCTCTTTTCAGCTTGACTGACAAAGTACCGTGTATCCCAAAGATAGCTTTGTATTATTGTCTGGAACAAATAGTTCACAAAAGTAGCAAAAAATATTGTACAGGCCAAGATGCACTGTTGTTTTCAAAAAACAAGATGGCCTGCGATGTTGTTAGCAGAGTTTAATGAAGCCCCACTTTGACATCACAATGTGCATTTTCCCCGTCCAACCCGGCATACTCAGTGTCTGCTGTTTTTCCTGAGCGTGGGATTGGGTATAGGCAGTAGCTACTGTTCTCAGGCCACTGTTAGTACAGTTTGCATAAAAGCGATTGTAATTGTTTTAATTAAATACACACCACAAAATCCTCCCATAAAACTCTGACTTCATATCAAAGATGGTGTGAGAGAAAATAGCTGCTTTTAGAATCTCTGCAATTTTGGCTGCATCAGCAATATTTTGCAAATAGTCATCTTTCTTTTTTCTGTTGTAAACCAATAAGGTCCTTCCCTGTTAAATCAGCCTTGCAGAAAACTATTTTCATTCATACAGTAGCAGCAGCAAACATAGGAATTAACCTCATTCACCTCAGCGACGTGTGAACACCAAAACCTAATTGGGACCATTGAAATGGTATCATTATTAAGTATGGGCTTTTTTTAATCTTTGTTCCTTTAAAAAGCTTAGGAAATGTAACATGGAAGAAAAACTGTTAATGTAACATTGGAGTTGCACAGAAATCACAAAGGGTAAATTTTCAAACCATCTAAGTGATCTTCAAAAACAATTTAGGCACATAGGAGCCTAAAGCTCATTGAAAGTCACTAGTATTTAGGCAGGGAGGTATTTAGGCACCTAACTCGTATTGATTGACGGCCTAAATACCTTTAAGGATCTGGGCCTAAGTCAGTTTTGAATATGGGACTTAGGCTCGTAAGTCACTTAGACGTTTTTGAAAATGTTGCCCTTCGGCTTATTTGAAACTTTTAATCAAAATTAAGAAATGCAAAAGTTAAGATTATCCCAGCACTATTAGCTCAGCTATGTTGCACATGTGTACTATTTACCATTTCAGTTTTTCTGGTTAACTGGGTAGCATTATATGTTAGGTATGTAAAATGTTGAATGGCTTACTCAATCCATTTTCCATTTTAATGCAGCATTTTCAGTTGGCGTAGAATGCCTTCATAATGTTGATTAATTTTGTTGGAATTCCATATTGTTTCACAATTTTCCACATTGTTTCTCTATTTACACTATCGAATGCCTTTTGAAAGTCCACAAAATTGATGGCATGACTGCCTTGGAATTCAACTGTGGTTTCAATAATCCGACTCAGGGTGAAAATAGCGTTTGTGCACGATCTCCCTTGTCTAAATCCAGATTGTTGTTCACATAGGATGGTATCCAACTTTCCTTTCATTTTGTTCAGGAGGACTGCTGCTAATACTTTTCCTGTGACAGATAGAACTGTTACTCCCCTCCAATTTGAATAATTGTTTAGATCACCTTTCTTTGGTAACTTGATTATGATATCGAGGGTCCATTCTTCCAGCACTTTCTCCTCCATCCATATTTTGTTGCATTTCATCACAAATGTCTGAGAAGAATATTGGGAATAACATATAGAGATAGGAAGACAAATGAAGAAGTCAGAAAAATTCCTGGACAAGGCACCCTCTCACAAATAATCTACAAAAGAAGACATCAGTGGCTAGGACATATGCTAAGAATGGAAAAAGAACGCTTACCGAATACCGCCCTTGAATGGAAGCCAGAAAATGCAAGAAAAGAGGAAGACCGCGAATAACATGGAAACGAACAGTTCTGAATGACATCAAGCACCTCAACATGAAATGGGAAGATTTGGAGAGAAGGGCAGTTGACAGGCAAGGATGGCAAATGTGGGTAGCCCAATGTGCAGCAAAGCACGGGACGGACTAAGGTCTAAGGTAATATAAAATGTATTTTGTACCATAAGGCTTATTGTATGGGCAACATGGCCAAGTTAAAATTGCTATTGGAACTTTAACTTTTGCAGTTTCTTACATACTGTGAGTTTAACTGTTCAGCCATAATGCTGGATTAATGCAACTGTTTGCATCGAATACATATATACAGTCTCTTCTTTAGAAAAGTACATATAATTCCAATTGACAGTAATGGGAATTCTGTGCATTCAAAGAGAATAAATCCCTTACAGCCAAATTCTGCCTTTGGATACATGCACATAGCTGACTACGGTATATGTGGACTATGGGTATATTATTTCTGATTTGTGTTTTTAAGCATGGTTGGCCTACATTTCTGCAGAACTCAGAAAAATTGCTTTGGAACAATGAAGATGGTTTCTTGACATGATGCAATACGTGCCTGAAATTTTTTCTTGTACTCAATATAATCTGTTAAAAAATCCAATATACTGTGACATAAAATCAAACTAAAGATAAAGTGAAAAGCTAAATGAGCAAAAGCCATCCTGCCTTCCTTTCCATGAGGTATTACAATGGTAAGTAATGGCGCTTTGTCACCTTTCGAGCATAATTCAGAAAGGAATAGGCTCACTTCCTCAGCCTGCAGCCTCCAGTGCAGCAAAAGAGCACACATCACAACCCAGGAGTGGGCGTGGGCGGTGGGGAGGTGCTAGGGTGACCAAATAACAAATGTCAAAAATCGGGACACTTTTTTGGGGGGTGGGAGGGGGAATATGGTTGCCTATATTAGACAAAGCCCCTAATACTGCAACAGTGCCGATAATATCGAGACGTCTGGTCTCCCTAGGAGGTGCGTGAAGGTGGCTAGTCACCTTTGTGTTCTCCTGATCTTCCTGTGCCTGTGATACACTGGGCCAGTCTCTGGTATTAGCTTGACGTCTGCTGGGTATCAACAGTAGCCAGGGATCAGTGAAGCATAGGGATGTTCCAGCCACAGTCCCTCCCCAATCTACTGCCCCTACTCCAGCTATAGGGGGGATGGCATATCAGTTGCTATGCCGGCTCTGTGCCACCGAGGGATCCTCCTGCAACCAGCACTCCAACTCTAGCGCCTTTTTGCACCCTCATATCTGGTATTCAGAAGGCAAAACAGTGGTTTGTCTTCCAGCCACTGAATATGCAGAAGGTAATTAAAACCAATGAAGCTGACCCTGTTACCTTTGGGACCTACTATCATTATGATCATTCTGCCTGTAAAATAACTCAATGAATAGCACTGGCGGGTGGGGAGGAATTACGTTTCAGTGCCCTTTCTCCCCTTGTACCTGCAGCTGAGCCAAAGGCCCACAGTGGAAGAGCTGCGTGAGAAAAAGATCCTCATCCGCTTCAGTGACTACGTGGAAGTGGCAGATGCTCAGGACTATGACAGGAGGGCGGACAAACCTTGGACGCGACTCTCAGCCGCCGACAAAGTAAGCCCAATGAGCTTAGGCTCCAGTAGCAGCTGTGTATTGATCACAAGGTTCAGTAATGCGGGTGTGACACGACACTGCGAACAAGGGCCTAACCTCAACTCAGTCTCCTTCCAAAGGTGGCCAGGGGACAGGCTATAATGCCTGGTCTGCCCACAGATTTTGTACCTGCCTAACTGTGCTGGTTAGGAATGCGATCGTAATTAATATAGTTATGCCAGAACATTCCCTAGCGTGGATGTAGATATACCTATATAAAGGTGCTTTATATCAGCATAACTTATTCCCCTTCCTATACAGGAATAAACTATGCTGGTGTAACCTCTTTTATATTGGCATATAACTGCATCAACACTAGAAGGATTGTACTGCTTTATCTGTACCTGTAGAGTTAAAATAGTACGGCTTTTGAATGTAGACAAGGCCTAAGAGCGGCTGGCTGGAAGGTAGAGGGTGAAATGCCTTTGGGAGGGTACTGACCATCCAGAGTTGCAGGGCTGCGTTGAACCCCAAGCTGATGAGTTTTCTATTCCTTTTCTGCTGATGTTAATGTATTTTGTTTTCTCGTTGTAAACATGAAGCCTCATTTGCCAATCCCGGTAAACCAGGACTAATCCCAGTGAAATCAATGGAGTTATACTGGCGTAAAATCAGCATTAGAGGGGAATCAGGATCTCTGAGGAATTTGTGCGTGTGTGTTGGTTGGTTGCGCTGAATAATTCTACCAGTTTATGGGTGGGAAGCTCGTACAAGCAAGGTTGCACATGATACCTGGAGACGGAATTAATGAACCAGTACCGCAGTGGCACTCACTAAAACTGTAGTCGCATAATTAATCAATCCTTGGGTGCAAAATGTCAATTGATAAAATTGTCAAAAGCACCTGTCCAATAGAAAGCCACTGGGTCTCAGTTGCTTTTGAAAATTTTACTCAGTATTTTTATCTTAAGACAGGAGGGATAGAACATGATTTTGGATCACTTGATGATTACCTGGTCTGTTCATTCCCTTTGAAGCATCTGGCATTGGCCACTGCCATAAGACAGGATACTGGGCTAGATGAACTACTGGTCTGACCCAATATGGCTGTCCTTATGTTATGTTCTTTCCTGCTCCCCAAAAGTTTTTTAACCACCTAATCATTGTCTTATGTGCCATATATATTGAGAAAAGCAGTTCTCTGTATCAAGTGCACCTTTTTTTGAGTGTTAGTGGAGTCTGGCACATCAGTTGTTCCTATATTCTACCACCACATTGAGTCTGTGGTGGGAATCAGCAGCAAAGGGCTTACTGCCCTGGCATTATATAAATTTAACACTGAGGTTGCAGAAAGAAGGTGGACTGTATTCACACTTCAGGCTGTTTCCACTTGTTTCTTTGTCCTACTATGTAGAGTGCAATGTCTGTCTCAAGCAGAGACAAGGTGATAGTGTCCACAAAGTGAGACAGAGAAATTTAAACTTTTTATTACCGTTCTCAAGACAGACAAGACTATGGGCCTGAGAAATGTTACACTCACTCTTTGCCCCCTTTACATTGCCACTGTGATTTAAAGGGTCCATAGTTTAAATGGAAATCAAGATCTAAATTTTTTTTTAATGTGGAACTGTGTCAGCCCAGCATTTTACCACCAGGCTGTGTAGTCCAGTAGACAGGAAATAAAACTGGGAGCCCTGATTTCTATTCCTGACCCTACAGCTGACTAACTGTGCAATTAAGGCTTGTCTACACAGGCATGTGTTAGCAGTTATACCAGTATAGTTAAACCAATATAGTTATATCAGTACCTACCAGTACCTATATCAGGCTGGGTCTACACTACCCGCCTGAATCGGCGGGTAGAAATCGATCTCTCGGGGATCGATTTATCGCGGCCCGTCGGGACGCGACAATCGATCCCCGAATCGACGCTCTTACTCCACCAGTGGAGGTGGGAGTAAGCGCCGTCGACGGGAAGCCGCAGAGGTCGATTTTGCCGCCGTCCCTACAGCGGGGTAAGTCGGCTGCGATACGTCGAATTCAGCTACGCTATTCGCGTAGCTGAATTTGCGTATCTTAAATCTTAAACACCTCCCCCCCCCACGTAGTGTAGATGTAGCCTCAGTAACTACCCATGGGGACATTCTTATTCTAGTATAAGAGTGGCTTTCTTCAGTTTAGCTTTAATCCCTTCCAAAGTAATGAAAACCAAACCAAAAAAAGCCTTTACTTATTCCAGAATAAGACTGTCCATCCTGGGCATTATGTTGAGATAACTATATCAGTTTCAATTCACATCTTGGCTTATACTAATATAACTTTCCTTTGTGGACAAGCCCTTAGTCAAGTAACTCAACCAATCTGCACTTCATTTTTCCTCATCTATAAAATGGAGATAATAATGCCTGTCCAGCTTTGTAAAGTGTTTGTAGCTCTCTGACTGAAAAGTAGTATAAAAGTGCTAAGTACCAGTATTAAAAAGAAAGTAAATATGGGAGGGAAATGGAGCTTGGACCCTTATTTATGGTGTATGTTGAAGGCCAGTCTGTATCACTGAGTTCTGGCGGTCGCTGAGCAAGACCTCCAGCAAAACAGAGGAAACAAGGCTTGATATTCCTTCTGCATGTATAAGGGAGCAAAAAAAGTGCACAAATCTGTTTTTCCCGCTTGAGGTCAGGTCCTATGGAAAATACCCCGACTGCCGGCATCTGCAGTGCCTGCTTTCCCACATCATCATTTACACCATTTAAACAAAAAATAGAAAAACAAATTGAAACCATCTCTGACAAAACCAAAACTCCCCTATTGAAGATTATTCTCCTCCATAGCTACTATTCAATAACTTTCCGTCTTCACGGGCCAGGGCGAAGATTTATTGCAAAAATATATTTTTCTAATGGATTTTCTGTTTGTCAAATTAATCTTGTTCTCCATGTTCTGGATGTGCGGAATTGTGTTCAGTCTGACTTCATCTTTACCAACAGTAATGGTTTGAGGAATAAAAAGGGCATGTTAAGATCTCCCCAATAGATCAGGAATGCATGGGGTAATAGATTTCAGACCTTGTGGGAGCCGCCTGTGTGGCCCTTCACAGTCACTTAGGCAGCAAATCGGTCTGCTGAGGGCAGACCCTTGAGCTGCTGCATAAACAGTCAGTCTTTTCGGTGATAGATAAGGCACAGGCTGACAGTCATTTCCAAAGTAAATAAAACAACAATGCTGTATGTAAAGAGCACAAAGGGCCCAGTTCTGCAGCTCATGCAAAGAGTCCTTGTCAGAGGCAGTGCTGGCCCATTGGGGGCCCTCAGCAGGAATATTTTGGGGCCCCCTTAAGCTGCTCGGAGCCCTAAGCAATTGTTAGGCTATGTCTACACTGCACACCTTACAATGGTACAACTGTGCCTCTGCGGCCGCACCGGTGTGATGTGTGCTGTGTAGCCGCTCTTTGTCACCGGGAGAGAGCTCTCCCGACGACAAAATAAAACCACCTCCAATGAGGGGTGGTAGCTTCGTTGTCGTAAGCACGGCTCCTGCCGACGAAGCGCTGTCCACACTGGCACTGTTCGTCCTTAAAACTTTTGTCATTTAGGGGGGTGGTTTTTTTCACACCCCTGAGCAACAAAAGTTTTAACGACGAAAGTGCCAGTGTAGACATAGCCTTAGTCTGCTTACGCCTAGCATCTGCTCTGGTCTAGATGAAGGCAGTTTGCTCTTGGATAAATCACCCTGGCACATATCCCATTTTGCACTGATGTAATTTATCTGTATTAGGAGGTTATACCAGTGCAGATTTCCTTAGACATAGCCCCTCCTCCCATGAGTAGCACTTACCGGTGGGACTACTCACATGAGTAAAAGGTTTCATAATTAGGCAGTAAGGTAGAAGCATAAACTGATAAGACCAGCGGGGGGGGGAGGGGGAAGAGTCAAAGGTTTTTCGATCTTGGGCTAGACCATCAACAGTGAGACTGCTTGGAGGCTAGACATTCTTCAATCTGGGCCCAGTCCTGACCCCCAGAAGTTGCAGGATTGAGACTTTAGTGATTTGGGTGACATACTATCCAGTTATTCTAGCTATTTTAGAATTTGGTGCTATTTCCGTTGCTTAGTGTCATCTTCTGCTGGCAGGGCCGTCTCCAGACACCAGCTTACCAAGCAGGTGCTTGGAGCGGCCACTTCGGAGAGGGGCGGCACGTCCAACTGTTCGGCGGCAATTTGGCAGACGGTCCCTCACTCCTGCTCGGAGCAAAGGACCTCCCGCCGAATTGCCGCCGCAGATCGCGATCACTGCTTTTTTTTGTTTGTTTTTGTTTGGCTGCTTGGGGCGGCCAAAACCCTGGAGCCGGCCCTGCCTGCTGGGAGTTCTTTTTGCAGAAAGAATATTGTTTTAAATAAATAATGAAGCAATCCAAACTGTAACATGTGTTGGGCTCCAAGATCATCAAGCCTCATTGAAAGTCAGTGGGACTTAGGAACTTTTGAATATGTTTCCTTGTGCCACAGTTGCCCATGCCTTTGGCACATCTACACTGGAAACTGCTATGTGCTCTACGTAGGCCCACTCTTGCAGATCACTCTGAATTTTCTGCTAGTGCAGAATGCGGCCATCTGCCTATTAAGCAACAGGCCAATATGAGCATTTGGCACTCATGCATTTTGCCCTGCACTGGCTTCCAGTCTGCTGTGGGTGCTGCAATTCAAGGTGCTGGCATTTCTTACTACTTACTTATGTGCCCTGCTGCAGCAGTTCTGTTTGACTGGAATGGTCTTGCTGCCTCTCCTAGAGGTTGACTTAATAGGGATAAGCAGCAGTACTCCGCTCTGGTACTCTCTCCCTTATGGTCAGGCATAGTCCAAGTTTGGCAGCCATTCATCTGTTCCATATGGGTTTTTGTTCATTTTGCTTTTGCAACATATATGTGCACCCATTTGGGGGTATTTATTTGAGGGACCAGAACTAGGATCTATGTCAGCATTGTTTACAAATAACCTACCCTTCGAATAGATACAGCTCACTGAAACATTCTTCTGCTCTTGTCTTCATGTGATTTTTAGATCGGGTTTCTCTCTCTCTTTTTTTTTTTAAGAAATATTTTAGAGAGCCTTGTATATGCTTTCTCCTCCACCTATGAGAACATCATTTATGGCCTCTTTCATGGTTGTTAAGCAAATATACCATTTTGAATAAAAAGTGAGCTTATTTTGTTCTCTTTTATTTGCATATTTACTGGTTTCTTTGTCATTTGCAGGCAGCCATTCGAAAAGAGCTCAATGAATTTAAAAGCACTGAAATGGAGGTTCATGAATTAAGCAAGCATCTAACAAGGTTGGATGAGACTTTTCTGTTTGTTTGTGTGTTTGTTTGTTTTGTTTTAAGATTAACAATTAATAGTGCTGATTTCCAAAATGTATAGGCATCCTCTTTCCCAAACATGCACACACCAAATACATAGCCACACACAAACAGCATTCACAATCAACTCACCACTCAAGACATACGCCCGTCAAGATTACAGGCTTGTATGCAGTTGTGTGTCATTTCTGTAACAATATTTAATCTCTTTTTTTATTTTGCTTGTTTAGCAGGCTGGTCATTTTGCATTTCACTTGTTCTGGTATCTAAAATAAATGGTATTTGTGGCTGGAAGGAAAAGGAAAGCAGAAAGGTTATAACAGCATTTCCTGTTGCAGAGCTCATATATTGTAGGATGCTAATGCACTGCAATGGGAACACAAATCATATAGAATGCTCAGGTTATTCTATTACTGTGTTTCAGTTCGTTCCATAGGCAATTTGGGAGGAAATATCAAACTCAGCGTTAAAACTGGCACCCGTTCATATCCTTGTAGGCAGTGTGGGCAGAAAAGCCCTGGACTGAATGAGCCAGGAGCCTGAACTAACACGCTCATCCATAACAATTCAGGGTTGAGGCACATTGGTGGATTGGGAAGATTGCCTTACCATTGTCCATGCTGCTTCTATTCTGTAATTTTCAGAGGTGTTAAGTCCCTGGAAGTCCAGCTGAAGTCAATGAGAGCTGCGGGTGCTCAGCACCTCTGAAAATCAGGCTCTCTGTGGTTAGTAAAGTCCTATCCTAGATTCACTTACATTTATTTTTCATAGATTTTTTTTTCAAATAACAATTGTAGGAATTCATTTCAAGAAAGAGAGGTCTCATGCAAATCTCTTTCAGTTAGTACTTAGGAATGCCCTGGAAAAGCATAAGGCTGAATTAATTTTGCATCATGTGGATCTTTATTTACATTTACATAGATTATAATTGTGTTAAAATTGTTGCATAGTTTATGCACACATTCATTTGCAGAAATGATCCACCAGCTAGCACCACGTTAACCGCCATATTTAAAGATGTGGAAAAAGGAGTCAAATAGTAACAAATAAGAATGTACGTGTGTGTTGTCTGGCTATGCCGAAAGAAGGGGAGGAGACATTTGACATGGGTTTAATCAGGCCACAACTTTATTATTAGATGTCTGAGACTACCTGGTAGATAACAGTGTACAGTCCAGGTAACCCCATGTTTATTCTGTAATTACCCGGGGGGCTTTTACCAGCTCCCCCTCTTTTTCCCTCCAGGCCCCTCCAGCAAATCCATTTCCGGGACCTTACCATCCACCCCCTCGTAGGAGGGTTAAGGTGGGCTATAATGGGAGGTTGGCTCCCTGCCGTACCAATCATAGGAGTCCCCAACCACTCCCTATTCGTTCCTTTAATGAACACCTCTTTTTAAGTCCTTTTCCAAGCCATTTATCCAGTCACTGTATACCTTTCCTATGGAGTACCTGCACTGGACATCCGCCCTACACTTAAATAATGAGTTGTGACATATAGCCTACCATCCATCACGCCATGCATGAATAGACCCCTTCCTGAAACCCACTGTGGGGAAGGTGGAAAAAAAAACAACTGCACCCAAGCCAATATGGTGGTAAGGGAAATATTCCTTCCCAGTCCCCCTAAAAAAGGGGGGGCTAGCATAATGCCCACAGCAGGTGTTTACCAAACCTGGTATTTTACCACCTAAAAGGGAGGGAGGGTGGGTCCTGCTTCAGCCTTGGTCCGTGTAAAAAGGAAGGCTTCAGGCGCTGAGCTGCTGCTTGGAAACCCTGCCATTCCCAGGGGATGAGTCAGCAACCACGCTGACCCCTTTTTGCAGCTGTTTTCATCTCTCCCCTCTCCCCTCCCCCCACCAGCCATAAAGCACTGTTCCCATCACTCGGCTGGCCAGCCAGCCAAACACCCCCCACTTAAAGGTGCAGGGCAGTCATTTGCAAGAGACAAGCAGCTGCCTTTGAAGCATGAAATCTTAGGCCAGTTCCAGTTTAGTACTTGCACACAACAGTCCATAATCATCTCTGACCTACTCTTTTGACCTCTCAATGGATTTACACTAGAGTTGAGTTTGTCCTGCTAAATTCAGCCTCCAGATGTGAGATACCTGTAACTGGTCACGGTTCTAACTGGTGCTAAGCACTCTCAGCTTCCATTGAGTGCTCAACAACTCACAAGATCAGGCATCAAGTCTAGAAGCATGTGGCTTGATCTACACCTAAAACTTAGGTTCATCTAGGTACATTGCTCAGACTTGTGAAAAATTTCTAACCCCCAGTGTAGACACAGAAGAAGGATTCTACTATCCAGCTACTGGTTCTTGAGGGGGTGGATTTACTACAGCGTGGAAAAAACCCTTCCATTGCTGTAGTAAGTGTTTACACTACAGAACTACAATGGCACAGCGGCAGCGTACTGCAGTGCAGACATACCTGTGAAACGTAGCAATTTTAGTTTACAGGGGTGTCTGCGTGAGCCTTCTTTCAGTTTGGTTCATGTGGGTTTGCATCCAGAATTTTGCTTTATTTCCAAATCTTGAGGAGACCATTCATCTGAAATCTCTTGAATGTTGTCTGATTTCCATTTGAATCCATAAGCTCGTTCTGATTCATTCAAATCTGGCCCTGGGCTCACTGAAAGCTAAGCCCTGCATACTTGAAGCTGGAGAAAGGTTCATCTAAAGTTCAACAGGGTTGTTGGAGCTGTTTGTCTAACCAAAAAATATCCACATAAATGAAACACACTTACATGAAAGAGAGTAATTCTCTTAAACTCAGATAAGTCACCATTATAAAATCATTAGCAGGGTAATGATCTATATTTGTCATTAGGATAATGACACATATGCTGGGTAAAGGATATGAGTGTTGCTTTTCTAGAGCAGTAGTTCCCAAACTGGGGTTCGTGAACCTCTGGGGGTTCGCAAAATGTTACAGGGGGTTCTCAGGAAAAAACTCCCTAATGATGGACAGAGCTGTCCCTAGGGACCCCAGGCAGCACAGGGCCAGCTGTCCAAAGCCCCTGAATGTCCAAGAGCTAAGAAGATCAAAGCAAGCATTTTTATCACACTGAGGAGATTTAAACGTCAAGATTCCTTATAAGAAATGGAAAGGGAGGTGGATATTTTTTGCTGTTTTTAAAATTAAATAGGCAGCTAGTATTGTTTTTTAAATTATTATGAAGAACAAGTTTAAGCTTTGTTGTAACGTGCGTTGTTTGCCTGGACTGCTCAAGACCTGAATGCTTGTGTAGGAGGAACTCTTTGAGTTGGCTTCTTAAATACCTTCATGCTGTTTCACATCTGATACTCCTTGATGAAACATAGGAGCCTTGTCTTATAACAGGCTTATTCAAAGTGATACAAGCTACAGACGTGAGATCTTGGAAGAGTGTTGCCATTTTCATAATGTAATACAAATACTGTAATGATAAATAATTAATAGTGTGTAATAAGCATGTCATAAAAACACATTTTATATTTCCAAGATCACGGCTTTCATAATTTATACTCAGGTAAAGGAGAAAATCCCTGGAAATATTCATTTTTAGGAGGGGGTTTGCGAGACTTGACATTTTATTGAAAGGGGTTCACAAGTTGTTAAAGTTTGGGAACCTCTGTTCTAGAGGGATGGATACTTTAGCTGATGGTAGAGTTAAAGACCAACACTTTAAAAAAAACAAACATACATGACTGGAAACACAAGCCTCTGGATACATTGCAAAACAATAGCTATTCTGGAATAATTGGTGTGTAAACAGGCCCTAAAGTTCTGATCCAGAAACACTCATTGACTTCAGTGGGCTTTGGATCAGGCCCTGAAAGCCTTACAACAACTTGGTGAGTTTGGTAAGTCTTAATGTTGCTAAACCCATTTTTTCAGAGAGATAAATTGAGGAACAGGGAAGTTTAAATGACTTTTCCAAGGTCACATAGTGAGTCAGTAGCTGAGCTGAAAACAGAGCCCGGGAATCCTGGTGTCCAATGCCGTTGCCCTAAACTATTTAAATAATGCCACCTCTTTGGTGACATATAACACGTATGTGAGAACAAGCTTGTTGCAAAGTATTGACTTTTTCATTCATCCTGTCTCTTTTAGGTTTCATAGACCGTAGCAGTTCAATTCTACTTGACTACTATGCCATCTTTAAAACCTAACTAAAAAGAACCGTAAGTGCTGGTATTATTCACTTCCTGTTGCGTACAATGTAAATCTTCTGAACTGCCTTTTTAAAATAATTAAATTAAAGAGATAAATGAAAATAAAGGGGGGGAGAAGCAAAAATGGAAATTGTACTTACATGTGATGGGTACTGCTACATCATCAGACCTGCTGGCACAAGCTTCGATAATAGAAAATACCCCTGGTGGGAATCATACCAAGAGCTGGCATCTATGTTTCTGACTTCCTGACATGTGGATTCACCATATTTGTCCAAGCCCAACTGGTAATGCGTCCATTCTGTCTTCAGTCACCCTGCATCCTTGCAAGCATCTGTCGCCTGACTCCGAAGAAAGCTGAGGCACTTGGTGGTGTTCTGGGAATGACTGTGCTGGGTGAAGCCTCCAAGAGGCCTGCAGCCACGTTAAAGCACTTTTAGTCCAAACACTTCATTCAGCTTAGGAGCACCTTAGAAGGACAATGAGGGAGGAGAACTGCTCTCAGGACCTGCCCACTTTCCGAGTACAAAGAAATTCACTTTCCATGGAGGAGTTTGTGACTGGTTGATCTTCACCATTTTGGTTCACAAGAACAAGAACAGCATTCCTTACTGAAGGGTGGTTTGGCTCAATCAACTTTTTGTTTTCCAAACCTAATTATGACTCCACAAACATTAAGTAACAATAATATTGGTAAATAACAAGCAAAAGGCACTGCCTTGACCTTGTGTAGTCATTGGTACCTGTGCCTAGTGATCGTAAAGGCGCGTAGAGCACAATCAAATCAGAATAGCTGGGTTTTCCCTCCAGTTCACACAGGCGTAAGGCAGCAGTGACTCGGGTCCAAGGTCTGGATTCCAAGAAGGTATCCATGGGATATGTATTATTCTGTATGTCTGAGATTTTTAAAGGGCAGATTGGGCATGTACAGGCCTGCACTTCAATCATATTGAGAATAATCTTTTCTTGGTTCTGGTGTAGCAAAACGTGGGCCTCATGTAACAAAAATATACTATTGTATTGTTATGGATGGCTCAGAATTGTCTGCAGTATTTAGAACCAAGGCAATAGGCAAAAACCCAGGGGCTTTTTTATACTGGCATGCTTTTATCTGTTAAAATGGCCACTTACAGCTCAGTACTCACTCTAGCCCTGACCCAGCAAAGCAATTCAGCGGGTCAAGCATGTGCTGAAGTGCTTTGCTGGATCAGGACCAGAGGGTTCAGCGCCTTGCAGCATCCAGCCCTGACACAATATAAACCTATCAAGCTGGAAACAAATGTCTGTGATTTAATCCCTTATGAGAAAATATACTGCTGCACTCTGTATAAATGGGCCAAAACGCTGAACTAACATTACTGTAAGTTGCAATGCTCTGGATCGTGACTGTGGAATAATATCAAATGTTGTTTTGCTTTTGAAAGTTTGTGCAGGGAGGCCTAGGTTTTCTATGACAACGGTATCCTTTGCAAGAGTTCACGTGCACACACAACCACGCACCCTTCCTCCTATTCTTCCCTGGAGTGCCCTGGTAATACAATACCCACCCCCTCCACTGATTTCAGATTAGCATCAGATTGCGGTTGCTTTAACAGGTGTATGTTATGTGTCCAGTTATGTGCAGCACACGCTCAGCTCCTCTTGGACCTGTTTCTCATCCCACTTGCCCTGGTGTAAATCAGCAGCAACGCCATCTAACTCAGTGAAGTTACATTAGTATAAAGCCCACGTAAATGACATCAGAATAATGCCTATTGATTTCCTTAAGGAACTGAGGCTGGTCAGCACCTACCAGGATTGGGCTGTATCTGAGAAGAGTGGAAGCGTTTCAGTCTCATCTGAGGTCACCCATGTGACTTATGAGTGAGCATTTGGGGAATATTGAATGTCTGTTACAGGGTGGAGGGCATTAAAAAGAAAGCAAAGAGCACCTCAGCCAATCCCACAGGAGCCAAAGTACTGACTGTTGCCCTTTTGCCTCATTTCTATTTGAGGTAATAGGTCTTTGAAGTTATTACTTAGCACTGTTAGTGGTTTCACAATAGCCTAAAAATAAAGATGATTCCTGCATCCTCATCACACGCACAGGATATACTTACCTGGACTTGTCAAAAGAAAATAATAGTCCCAATACACTCTGGGTGAAGATGATTTATCTTAGACAGAGGAAGCCCTGCCTTCTGTATAAATATGATCTGCCAGTGACGAGTTCTAACTGACTTGATTGCAGGACATTGCAGATTAAAGTTAGTGGGGAAGTACAGTGCAGTTCCTCAGACAAGAGTTCACCAGCAGTGAGAACCTGATGTTCAACGTTATCAGCACAGTGCAGGAACAGCAGAGCAGGTATCCGCCTAGCACATATTGCTGCAGGGTTTTTTCCCTGAAACCACAGGTGTGCATATTATTAAATTCACTCTCACATATGGCTTGAAAGAAGAAAACAAAGGTCTTGGCATTATGAAATGGCCTGGCAACATGGCTGCTTCAAACAGCTGCAAGCCCCGGGATTCAGAATGTGACCTCCCACAGCTGCCCACATGTCCTGGCATCTCTGCCTGGTTGTCTGAGGTTAAGTCAGATGGGAGGGCTGAGGAAGCAGTAGCGACAGAAATCAGAGTATTCAGAACTTGTGTGTTGGTGGGAGGCACAAAGGAACAGAACGGGTGGATTTGGGTTTCTTGTTAAACAGGAGGAATGAGAGGCTGAGATAAGGGGATAGGCATCAAGCTGTTGCTATCACTGCAGACTTCTCAGGCAACACTAAGCCGCTGGTGGAGGAGCACGCACAGGAAATGCCACTGTAGCAATACAACCTGTCCCTTGTGTGTCAGGGCCATGTCGCAACCCCCAGTACACCTGCAGGTCAGGCAGCCGGACTGAACTGGCCCTGATCAGTGGTTTTCTAGTTTACCCAGAACGAGGTCTCCACTGTATGGTCACAATATTGCAGGCTACCATGTGGCTGGAGATAAGGAATAAAGCCAGATCCCACTGAACTCCCAGGAAGTTTTTTTCAGGATTTGCTCGGCACTGAGACAAGACGTGGAAGGCGTTTGAGGTATTCTTCCATTTGCCTGACATTCTAGCAGAAGACATTGCAGTTCCGCTGTGATCTGAAACAGTGGAACTGCCATATTTCTCATGAGCTGCAGCTACAGCACATCGCAGGGGAATCCAGGTGAAATGCCCAGCATAGCAGCATCAGTCCATGCTACACAGCTGGCATTTCTTCTCCCCCGAGCCTAAAGATGTTTGGGTGTTTAACAGGAATTATGCCCTGACAAGGCATCTTCCTGAAAGGTGACTTGTTGGTGACTGAACACTGCATTGTGCCCTCAGTTTACTTACATCACTCCGATTGACATTCATGGAAGTTTAAGAGAAAAATGAGGACAGACTATTTTTTTTTAAATCTATTTTCTGCAGAAGTGCAAATGCTTTTCCCATCAAATACTCTGCTAAAGCCATGTCCACTGAGTTACTGTACTTGGGATTCCAGCTTTTCTTAAAAAAAAATTGGCCAAGTAGAGCTAATAATAAAGCAGATAATTTTTCTACTGAACGTTCAGTTATCAGCAATGAGTTTCATTTGGATTAGAAGGATTTATAATCATCATAGCACACAATTCACTTTAACCAGCTTAAAGAAACAAAACTAGGTTGATGAGAGCAAAATTTTCATCTACTCATCATTGATTGCTAAAAACTATGTGGAGGGAAAAATGCCAATGGTGAAAAAGAAAATATATTAGTAATAATCTAATGAATCAATGTTAATACTTACAAGGTGTAATGCAACATCTGCTCTAGAACTTATGGAAATATTAGTGGAAAACTAAAGGGGAAAAAACAAGGAGTTATGGTAAAAATAATCATAAAACTCCTAATTGAATGTTTTGCTTAGTTTGAGAAAGTGACACAAACTACTGAGAAGTGATGGTGACGTCTATTCCTCCACCTCCAGGCCAGAAATCGTGTAAAATAGAGCTGAGTGAACTATTCATAGTGAACAATGTACTGTGCATTATCCGTTTCAGATCGGAGTAGGTTTCAGGGTATATATAAACTCTTTGGGGCAGGGCCTGTTGTGCATCTGGTGCCTAGGACACGCTACCAGGAAAAATAGTGAATAATAATAATAAGCTTCTATTTTTACTAATTTATTTATTTGTAGTTGTTCAATGAACCCTTGAGAGGTTTCAACCTCAGGGTTACATGCAAGCACTTCACTTTGTCATTGACTATTCTCTCTTCATCAGGTGTGATTGGTCACCTGAATAACATGTTACTGCTTCTGCATGCCGACTGGACAGCTGAAACTTTATAAACAGGAGGAGAGCACTTCCAAAAATGACCAGCAAATACTTACATTCACACACACATACCCATGTTCACATGCAAATAGGGTTATGACACGCAGAACATCCATCCCCCAATGTTCCTGCAAATAAACCCACTTTGTACAAATATCCATGGAAGAAAAGGATGAAAACTTGGCCAACAGAAATGGTTACAAATGATCTTTCCCACTGCTCACCCAGCTCTAATTTAGTATCACTTCTATAAAAACGAAGTATGTGAAGGGTACATTAACTGCTTTTCCATGCGTCTCTCATACTCCAGAACCAGTTGCATTTTCCAGCTGATATACAAGTGTATGTACATAGTTTGTCTTTGTATAGGAGTGAATGTGGTGACTGTCAATCATGTGCTCTTCCAGTATTGTAATTTAACAGATTATGACTGTATGAAAACTGTGTAAATAACTAGAAGAAAAAGTAAACTGGATCTCTATGTCCTAGATTTTGTACATACTGAAACTGCATGGAATTTAAATTATTGTTTGTCTCTGATGTATGCAGTTTCTTTAAAAAAAATCATTTTAAAAAAACCTTTCCTAGTCTTGTGTATTTTATTCACCTCCTGTTATATTCTTTGCCAAATACTGCAAAAGAAAAAAAAAAGTACTTTAAGTTACCAGCCCTGCTATGGGGTTGTAAGCACTCAACACCTCACAGTGTTAGGCCTGTAAGGGAAAAATTATTGTAATCAAGATGACAGATCCTCAGAGGGTGTAAATTGGCATGGCCCTACTGACTTCAGTGGAGCTATGCCAGATTACAACAGCTGAGGATCTAGTCCACCATCTCTGGGCCGGCTCAGCAAAGAAGACTGAAGGAGATTGGCTGTTCACTCTGCAGCTACAATCGTCCCAAACACCAAGCTAGTAAACACTGGTCTTCACTGCAGAAAAATCCCTTTCAGCATGTTTTTTGCGTTCCTTCGAGTGCCCTTTACAGGAGTCACATCTGTAGTGGTCTCCCCGTTCTGGAAATCTCACAGGCACAGAAGTTTGGTGGATAGTATTAGAGCAGATTTTGATCAGACACACGCAATCAGCAACAAAAGCTCATTACAATTTAACAAAAGCCACAGGAAGAGACATACTCATTCAGGCTCTTGCAAACAAAGGGCTTCTGCTCCTCTTTTTTCTTTTCTCCAAGTGCCTTTATTCTTTCCAAAGGTTGTCAGCTTAACAGCACTGCAAAGTGAAATTTCCTATCCATGAAGGGAGAACAACTTGAGGTGCTGAAGTACAAGCTTCCCCACACTCCACTATTAATATTCTTCTCTACACAGACAGATGTGAGAGTAACACCCCCACCATGCCCATGCGGTCCAGGGTAATTTGTGATGTGAACTAGTGTCCCCAGAGAGCTGGGCTAAAACCATCAAGGATAAAATCCACAAAGGTATTTAGGAGCTAAACCACCACTTTGTGCCCCTGAGATTCTTAAAGCCCCTGTTCAGTTGCTGCCTAACCCTCTAGGCACATAAATGTCTGCTAGTAAAATCCCTTAGTTGCCTCAGTTTCCGCCAGTGGGCATACACAAAACTGCCTAAATCCTGATGACACCAAGCTTCTTGGTACTGTAGCAGGATGCCCAAGACCTGGTTGGATTCTCAGAGTAGGTGTTTCCCTGCCAGTCTTGCCTGCAGAGCCTGATCCAGTGGGTATTCTCCGAGCAGGCCTCACCAGCACAGAAGAGAACAAGGGTGACCAGATGAGGAATTTTTGGGGCAGGCTGCCTGGCACGTGTACTACAATACCCAATAGCTCAGTAGCTGGGACACTCACCTGGGATGTGGAACACCTGTTTTCAAATCCCCATGCTGCTGGATTTGGAGCAGGGACTTGAAACTGTGTCCGCTGGGTGCATGCCTTTAACTCCCAGCCTATTGGATATTCTCGGGTGAGGCTCTTTCAGCCTCTCCTGTTGGAGTTGTTGCTGGCTTTTGTGAATCCCATTTTTAGGCACCTAATTCAAGGCTGTGAATTCCACTTGGCAGCAGGACACCTGCCACACATGCAATGCCTAACTCCCTAGGACAAATTAAACAAGGCAGCTGTAGGTAGTCTAGCTGGCTCTAATAAACTACAATCCCCTCAGAAGCTGTTGGGAATGGTAGGGGGCTGGGTGGAGAGGTCTCACATGTGGAAGGGTGTGTTTGCTGCTGCTTTCTTTCTGAGGCTGGCTTAGAGAAAGCTTGGAGTGTGGAGAGTGACAAGTAGCAGAGGAAGGCTAGACCGGAGCCTGAGAGCAGAGTATGGGAGAGAATGACAGCTCACTGGAAATGAAGGTACTGTAGTGGGCATAAGCTGGGCTTGTCTCGCTTTAGAGACTTGTACTTTGAGTTCCTGAAGGGGAAAAAAAGTCTTTGATTGCACTTGTGAAACCCAGAATGTGCAGCATTTATAGAATCTGTGTCTGAAGAACTGCTGTGTTCTGTCTCCTCCCCTCCTTCATGTCTGTGGTAGTCAGGTCTACCAGGCAATAACCTGTCCTGGTGACAGTGCCTTTGTGGATTTTAGTCCCGATGTGCTTCACGTTGGTCTCTGAATAACTCTCAGATGGCAATAGCATTTGCTCGCTAAAAAGCCAGGTGGCTTTGGCTTGCTCAGGTAGAACAGGGAGTTCTATGTATTTTACCAGTCCCAATTGTGCTCTGCCTCCTCGCTATTGCTGATGGGTTCTATAGCAGACCAAACATGGTAATTCTGCCAGCGTTTTCAAATGCTTACGTTTTTAGCAATCCCTTTTTATGATAAGGAAAATGGGGGGGGGGATCCATTTACTTTGACTAAACAGCAACAAGATACGATGTGTTTTAACTACAGACCCATGAGTTACCACCATTACGGAGTTACAGCTCGGCAAGGCTGCCTGCATTTCAGGCTTGGTTTATACACGACCCATCAAGTATGGGGCTAGATTTTCTACTTTTAAATAAACATTTGCTCCCTTCTATTAGTTGCTTTCTGTCTCTTCCTTCCCACCTCTCCACCCCTCACCCTACCCCCCCCCCCACCACACACACACACACACACTACTCAG